TCCTATTTCAAGCCTGGGGCTACATAGTGAGTTCAAGGCCAACCTGGACTATGCAGTGATAGTCTGTCTCAAAAAACAAACAAACAAACAAAAAACTGGGGAAAAAATCACTTTGGCTGTTGTGGGAAGAGCAGATTAGAGTCAGAAGAGTGGATGCAGGGAGGTCAGCTGGGAAAATGTACAAGTGGTCATGGTAAGAGATGCTCTTGGTCTGAACCAGATGGTAGAAGTGAAGATAGAGAGAAGTTTCAGGTGTATTTGGAGGCAGGACTTGGAGATGGAGGGAACTGAATTACGATGATGGGAAGATGTCTACAATGTCTCCCAGTTTTCTGTTTGGGGCAACTCAGGACTAAATACATAGGTGGGTATGGTAGTGCATATTTGTAATCCCAGCACACTGGTCTCAGTGACCGGGAATGTGCCATCCTCTCTACCAGGCATGGCCTTCACCAAGATTGCCTTATGGGCCACTCCCCTCCTTAATCCAAGGCTCTATTCAAATGCGACTTTCTCAGGGTTTTTGCCCAATCACCTAATCTAAAAAGAATCTCTGTCATTCTCCACTACCTTATTCTGAATTATTTTTCTTCCACAAACTTATTACCACATAAGCAGAGTGAATTTTTTTGTTTACTGTCTGTTTCCCCTGCCAGATCATTAGCAACAGAAAATGAAGGACTTCTGTTTTGTTTCCTCATATTCCTTAGCATCTACCATGGTATCTGGCAAATCAGTACTTGGTGAGTATTTGCAGAATACAAGAGTGAGTGAAGAATGAGTAGAGAGGCATATTTACAGAGAAGCTGAGGTCAGGACAGACACATGTTAGGTAGGGCATGTCCAAGTGACCTCAAACAAGGAGGAACAGATGTCAAGCTGACCACTGAACTAGGGCATAACTCAGAAGAATCAGGTGAGCTGCATGTCTGTGTCAGGATATGTGTGCCTGTGTATCTGTACCTGCATCAGAGCTCAGGTGGGTGCCTCAAGAGTGTGTGTGTGTGTGTGTGTGGTGCTGAGGATAAAGCCCCCTGTGCATGCTAGGCAAGTGTTCTAACAATGAGCCACACTCCTAGGCCATGTGTGTGTTTCTCAATTGTCTTGCATCTGTGTGAGGGCAGTGTGCACAACTGGAGGATGAACATGTGTAATGAGCCTGTGCTGGGATGAGGAGAGACCATGTCTGTTCCCAGCCACTGGAATGCCATTGATTCCTTCTCACACAGCCCCAGAGACTGGACCCTGGCCACAGCGAGAGCTAAGCCAACCAGCTGTTTTTGTGCTTCCCAGAAGGATTTGAGCATTTGCTTCCAACTAGGCAGGCTGCTCTTCTCAGGGCAGAAATTTGGGTCACTAATGATATTGGCAAACAGTCTTTCTTAGATGTTATTTTGTAATTTGTTTGGGGGAGGGTGGGACATGGAGCAGGGAAGGGGGAACTAGGGATAACACAAATCTCTGTGTGGTTGAGGAGTCCCAAGCCCATCAGAATGCCAGAGCCAGGAAAATGTCAAGTTTTCAGAGTAGAAATGCAGTCCTGGAACCACTGGGCTTCAGAAGCTTGAGCCTGAGACATGGTCCAGGCCAGGTGCCAAAGCTGAAGACTTAGAGCGGTCTGCTGCATCTTCCCATACCCAGCTGGAGATGTTCAACCTCACCAGTCAAAGTGATAAGGACCCTCACCTCTGTGGTCCTGAGGACCTCAGTGCCTGGCTTGCCTCTGCTACCTTCCTTCTTTTGGTACTGCTAGTTCTTTTTCATGTTAATTTTCTAAAAACTTCTTTTTTTGTTTTTGGTACCAGGGATCGAAATCAGGACCTTGCGCTTGCAAGGCAGGCAGCAGAACCACTGAGCTAAATCCCCAGCCCTAAAAACTTCTTTTTTCAAAGTCACCAAGAATAAAGTAGGACCTGTGATATAGGGTTCACAATTTACAGTTAATTCCAAATGCTTTTGACACATCTCTCATGTGTCTGAAAGCACAAATACTTTTCCCTCGGGGAAGCTGGTGTGAGAAGCCTTCTATGTTCAAGTCCTTAACCACAGGCAAAGTGTCAGGTTCAGGGACTTTCTGACCTGGGAGAATTGTGACTCTCAGAGGCCTAGGCTCTTGATACCTGAGAATAACTTGGCCTCTTGCTTGCCTCTGGAGTATCAGGGGCCCCACTTTCCTTCCCAGCTGTCTACCACTGACTTTGGAAGTGGGAACTTTAGCTCTCTCTCCCTCTTTATTCTTCCAGCTCTCTGGGTTGAAAGATCCACATAAAGCATAGAATCATAGCATCCAGGGCTTGAAGGACTTCCATTATCCTCTCAGACAATGTTTCTCAAATTGCGCTACATGGAATTCCAGGATTTTGCAGAGGGGACCTCAGATGCTGCCAAAAGGATTGGGCCCAAAGACCTGGGCCCAGAGGCTTTGCTTCTTAATCCTCTTTTATATGATGAGCTTGTATACAAAATTTCATTAGAGAAAAGGCCTCTGCTAACCAAAAGTTTAAAAACCACTTATTATTTTTGTTGTTATTATTATTATTATTATTTTGCCATGCTGGAGATTAAACCCAGGGCCTCACACATGCTAGGCAAGCATTCTACCATGGAATGAGGTGGTAGATAAATGAGGGGCTGACAATCCTTTAGCTTCCTGAAAACCACTTTTATAGTACAATCTTTCCTTAGTTGTCTAATTCCCATCTCGCCCAAACTCTTCAGTCTGCTCAGCGTCCCCCTGGCCTCTTTATCTTTCTTTCTTTCTTTTTTTTTTTTTTTTGAGGTAGGGTCTCGATATGCAGTTCAGGATGTCCCTGAACTCTCTATGTTGCCTAGGCTGGCCTCAAACTCATGGTGATTCTCCTGCCTCAGCCACCTGAGTGCTGGGATTACAGGCGTGTGGCACCATGTCCAGCTTCCCTGGGCTCTTCTGTCCCATCTCAGCCCCGAACAGGCTAGGCAGCTGAAGGAGGAACCAGCACCTGGCTTTTTGCTCTTTGCTTGCATGGAGTTTTCACTGTGCCATCCCTCACTCCCTGACCAGTTCCTAGTTTCAGTTTCATTCTAAGGGTTTCTCTTCTCTTTGGAACCAAAACTATTTACTGAGTCAACAAATATCTCTATACTAAGCAGTGCACATATTTCGTTAAAGTTTTAAATTTTTTCTTTATATTTTATTTGTTAAAGTTTCTTAAGGATATATGTCTTCCTGTTTCAAGAATATTAAGCTTATTTTCATTTTTGATATTTTATTATTCTTATAGCCATGGCAGATATATTACAGCTGGGACAAGCATGGTAATAAATGAGTAAATGAATGAATCAATATGTCCTTTATTTTTCTTAGTCATTATTCTGCTTCATTACCTGACTCAGAGGCCCAGGAGCAGGGGAAGACCAAGAACTTGAGAAGCCTTTCTGGGACATGGCATTGATGCACAGGCAGTAATACTAATACTAATACTAATACTAATACCATCTGAGGACTGTTTTTAGTATTTTTTTTATATATATATATATATATATATATATATTTTTTTTTTTTTTTTTGTACCAGAGATTGAACTCGGGTCCTTGCACTTGTGCAGCAGGCCCCAAAACCACTGAGCTAAATCCCTGGCTATATGTATTAACTTACTTATCTTGACAATAACTCCACACTGACAATCATATTAGTGTATCCACTCCACGATGAAGAAACAGGTTCAGAGAAATAAAGTAATTTGAATATATATAATTACAGTGCTTGGCACCTAGGGGAACCTCACTGGGAGTTCATCCTGAAATTTATGGCCCCTCACAAAGCAAACACAGTCCACATTTGCAAGCTGATCTTTTTTGGATTCTACTTCTTGCTGTCCTCATGACAAACTTTCCCTGTGATCGTGGATCGCAGCTCATGTATTCTACCCCCTCCTGCCTCTGCTTCTTGAAACTTCAACTCTCTTTTAGGACTCCAATGCTAGGAAAGCCTTCTATTCTCCTAACAATCTGGAAAGACCCTCTCTCATCTGTGCTCCCCAATCTGCCAGATCCGGGTGGTAGGTAGTACCACATTCTACCATATATCACTCTCTATTCTGTGTGTGTGTGTGTGTGTGTGTGTGTGTGTGTGTGTGTGTGTCTGTCTGTCTGTCTGTCACGCACCTGCCTTCTGTTCTAAATTGCAAGCTTCCTGCAGGGAGAGCTTTCTTTCTGGGAATACCTTGCAAGGAACAAGCACACAAGGAACATCAGTGAAACAAGGAGAATGAGTTGAATCTTACTGGGAATCACCATAACACGTAAGTACATGTATTAAAAAATAATTACCCTCCTCCCCTGGAAGTCCTTGGCTCTCCTGGGGACCTAAGTCCAGAACAAGAATCTGGCCTTTGATAAATGTCTGGGATTCTGCCTGCAAGGTGGGGCCACTTGGCCAGTGGTAGCATCGTTCTCCAGGGACCTTGTGATCCTCCCACTTCAGGGACACTCCTCCCCCAGACACTTCAGCTCTGGTACCCCCTCACTGACGATCCCAGCGCGCCTAACCTTAGCAAAACTGAGGATCCAGTCTCAAGGGAGTTGAGTGGGGTATAAGGGGAAACCAGAGCCCCTCACCCGCTTCAGTCTTGACGTTCTGCCCTGCTAGTACCTCGAATACGACTCCCAGAGAAGACAGGGTGAGTTGGGGGGGGGGTGTGGAGACTAAGGAGGAAAGGGAAGAGAGGTACCAGAGAGGACAGGAAAGGCAGGCGGAAAAGAAGGCGCGTGGTGGGAGGCGACAGGAGGTGGCGGGGGCCCGACCCCCGCCGCTCTGGACTCCCCGCCAGCACGGGGAGGGCCCGGGTCTGAGTGTCGGAGGACAACTTCTGCCGGCAGCCGCGGGTCCTGTCCGTCTCCCTTGCGCTGCGGTGCCCAACGCCGCCAGCTCTCCTGGGGGAGCTGGAGCTCGGCGCGCTGCCCCCACCCCGGGGCCCCCCGGGTCCGCGCCCACCCTCACGCCCACCGACCGGCCTCCTCACCTTTGGGACCTGCGGGAGCGGCCCGCCCGCGAGGCCCCGGGTCCAGGCCGGGCCGGGTGGGGGAGGCGCTCTGCCCCCGCGCTAGCTGCGCCCGGGTTTCCGCAGCGCCCGCCCCGGCTGCGGTGCCATCCACGGCCGCGAGGCTGCAGGGCGGCCGGGCCGAGGATCTGCGGGGCTCCGGGGCGCCGCGGCGGGGGTCTGGGGCGGGCTCGAGGCGTAAACACCCAGCAACGTGACCGAAACTGGCGAACGAGCTGGAGGGGGGCGGGGGGGCGGGAAAGATAAGGGGGGAAGGGTGGGACCTGGGGCTGGCGGGGAGGGTCCGTGGGCGGGGCAGGGGCGGGGGAACCCCGGGAACCCGGAGAGGTCGGGAAGCCGGGCCGGAGGACCCTAGCGGGCAGCCCAACTCGCGGAGCTGGAAGGGGAACCTGGGAAACCTGCCGACGAGCTGGCGAGCGAGGGAGCGGCGACTGATCAGCACCACGGACAGCGCCCGGGCCCACCGCTGCCTTTTTGCCGCGTCCCTCTGCTGCCCCGGGCACGGCTAGGAGAGGCCGTGCCTGGGTCTGCCCAGGAAAGGGCTGAGGTGGGGGCGAGCTGGCCAGGGGTCTGGAAATCTGCCCTTTGTCTAGGCATCGGCACAGCCGCCCCAGGCTTCTTCCTAGCTGTGTGACCTTGGGTGAGTCACTTCACCTCTGGGCCCCAGTTGATGAGATACTCCAGTTCCCCGTGTCTGAAGGTTCCAAGAACTAAGGGGAGAGCCTCTATAAATTCCAGAACGAGTGCAAGGAACTGGTGTTGATACATTTCTGAGCACATGGAAGGCTTCCAGAGTCCCACTGCTTGCCTTGTAATTCTGGTTCCATCCACATCTTCCTCCTCGTTGGGCTTTGGTCTCCTAATTGTGAAATGAGGATCACGATGGTCTGTGTAAGCTCATAAGATCCTTGGGTTGTTGTGAAAATTAAATGAGTTAATACATATGAAGTGCTTAGGACAGCACTGAGGGCTCATTAGGCAGTCATGCCCAAGATGGCTGATGACAGGGGATCAGGTGCATCATGTGAGTGGCAGGTGGCTAGAAGGTAGTGCATTTCCCTCTGGGAAGCACATTTCCATCCCTGCTTTGAGAGACTGGAGGAAGAGGCTGAAGGGATTCAGATCAAAGTGTTGGTCTGAGTTTTCTCACTCTAGTGCCAACCAAAAACTCCCTGACATTTTCTCCTGTGCCAGATTTCCTGAGAAGTCTTTTACCTTTGTTTCCAGAGCTTCGAGAGCAAGGAGACCAGGAATCTGTTTATAAGGGCCTTCGGGGAGGGCCCTGGCAACTCACTGGCCTCATGGGTGTCCTACCTTCTCCCCAGGGCCCCTTTCCTCCTCACCTTCCCCAGTAAATTTTCAAGGCTTAACTGGACTTTTGCATCAAAGAATAAGTTTTAGTTGCTCCTGGCAGAATCCAAGCCTCGAAGAGCTGAAGGAATGACTGTCTTATGTGGCTTGAGAGGTGGTGGGGTTTATATTCTGCTTAAAAGCCTCTCAGTCTGACCCTGTAGGAATTCTAGCTTCTAGTTGCACTGTGGGTGTCTTTTATTTGCTCTTCATCCTGTCTGAAAAAAATCCTGAGTGAGCAAAAGGGCCAGCCCCATCCTGCCTCCTAGTTCCTTGCTGTCCTTCTTAAAGGACAGTGTTCTTAGGGTGTGCAACTTCCTGGCACTGTGTCTACAGGTCTCCAACAGGGGTGTGGGTTCTGATGAAGCATCTATGTCCTCTCAATTTTATGAGATATCAGTAAGAATGATGAAAGGTAGATTTTATATCCTCACAAGACAGGTGGTATGAGGGCACCTGGAATCCTGGGCTCTGATCTCAGCTTTGTCACTTACTAGCTGGGTAATTCTGAGCAAGTTGCAGCTTGTCTGAGCTCTAGTGCTTCCTCAGTATAAAGGGAGGAACAGCATCTACGAGGTCAATAGGACCCTTGCAAGAGTGTCAGGAGGTGCAAGTGAAGGTTGTGTGAATTATATGTTATGATCAAGACTAAATGTGAGCTGGGCATGGTGGCACATGCCTATAATCCCAGCACTATGAGAGACTAAAGCAGGAGGATTGAGAATTCAAGCCTAATCTGAACAACTTAGCCATTTAGCGACACTGTCTTAAATAACATATTTTTTAAAAAAGGATTGGGGATGTAGCTTAGTATAAAAGCCTTGGATTCAATCCCCAGTATTGCCAAAAAAAAAAAAAAAAAAAAAAAGAAAGAAAGAAAATCAGAGGTGTTTCTCGTTGACCTATACCAAGAGCCAAAATGAATTCTGGAACTCTGGTTTCCCATAGCTAAAGCACATAAATCCCAGACACATGACTGAGAGATGATCTGGCTTGTTCATAGGATGACCCAGCTTTTCCATAAGAAGTGCTTCTTGCAGAGTCTTGCTCCTGACCAAGCTCTTGGGTGGACATGAACCCCTCTAAGGCTGTCTTCAGGAAACTTGCAACATATTCAGCTGGAAAAGTTTATGTGAAAGAACAAATAACATGTACAAAGCACCCAAGGAACACTTGAAAGTGCCAACCAGTAGAATTGAGAGATCCACATGTGAAGGCAGAGCTGGGACCTGGAAGTGAATATCAGGAGACTTATGGCTGCCTCCTTAGTGAGGGTTAGAAATTAGTCTGTCGATACAGGAAGTAACACTAACTGCATGCAGTGTAACTTTGTGGGGAGAAATGGAATGCTGGAGATAATGATGTCAACGACAATAACAATAAACATGAAGCACTTTGTATGTGCCAGGTGATTTGTTAAATGTTGTTTAAAAAAATCTTCAACTTGTGTGTGTGTGTGCATGCGTGCGCGTGAGGGGGCTTAAACCAAAGGTCTGGAGCATGCTTTCAAGTGCTCTCCCACTGAGCCACATCCAAGCCCTCTTCTACTTCTTTTCTTTTCTTTTTTTTTGGCACAGGGGGTCGAACTCAGGTCCTTGCTCTTGTGCAGCAGGCAGCAAAACCACTGAGCTAAATCGCAGGCGCTCTTCTATTTCAAAATTAAACTTGAAACAAAGTAAAAGTTTATGAAACATATACATCTTGCCTCAGAAGTAACCATTATTTCCAGTTGAGCACTTTACCCATGCAATCTTATGTAAACTCTGGAGAATTCCAAATGGGCCCCAACCATATTGCTTCAACCCAGCCCACATACTCCTCCATCTAGGGAAGGGGGCTCAGGGGCTGACCTGACCGGTATCATTTAACAGATCCTAAAGGGTCCAGTTGTCTGTGCCTGAAATCCTTTCATTGCAGGTCAGTTTCCACCATCTTGGGTTACTGGTTTCCTACATCTTTGGTAATTTGGTGTAATTATGGTCATTTTTTCCTTTATTTTCTTCTAACTTTTTATTAGCTTTGTTACATATAATGCTCCATGTGTTGCCTTCCTTACATGTACCACTAAACAATCCAATTCTGCTTGTATTTCGATCTCTCATAGTGGAGAAGTATTATACTCAGGAAGGCTAGGACACAAAGTAACAAAAATGTATCTGTAGGGCTAGGGATTTAGCTCATTGCTTCCGGGACTGGCCTGCCCTGCCCTGCAAGCAAAAGGACCAGAGTTTGATCCCTCGTACCAAAAAAAAAAAAGTATCTGTAATCCCACTGGTCTAATGCAGCATTACTATCCTTGTGTGCTATCTTCTAATGTTTTCAAGTACTTGATTTGTACATGGCATGACTATCTGAATCTTTTCAAATATGCTGTATTTTGGGGTGGAATGTAGCTCAGTGGTGCCATGTCTCCCTGGCAAGAACAAGGTCCTGAGTTTGATCCCTGGTACCAAAAAACAAAACACAAAGAGCTGTATTTTAACTTTTCTCATGTTCCTGTATAGTCATCACAATTGCTATAACTTCTTGTAGATAACTGACTACGTTGGTTTTTGTCTTTTATGTGGTTCAAATACAGTATTATTTCATGGAATTGTTTTAAATTTCTAATGAAGAAAATGAAGAGTCCATAATATCATCAAGCTAATATAGAATTATAAACATATTATCCACATATTTCTATAAACATATTATCCACATATTTCTAAAAAATTCTTACAAAAATAGGACATGCTCATGCTTTAAAAGACAAAAATCTGCCTGCCTAGTGTGGTGGGGTAGGCCTGTAATCCCAGTACTCTGGGTGGTTGAGGCAGGAGATCACAAGTCTGAGCCCTGGGTAGGCAATTTAGTGATTTGACAAGACTCTTCAAATAAAAAAGGACAGGAGATGTAGCTTAGAGCAAAAGCCCTGGGTTCAAGCCACAGTATAATATACACAGGTAAGAAAAGGGAACATTGAAAGGTGAGCTGCAACCCTACCTTGTCTGTATCTCCCACGCCCCTTTCCTTGCAGGGTGCCTCTGTGTTGGTTACATTCTTCATCCCCAGTTGTTCCCATCACTTTTCACTTGAGACATAGTGGAAGCCTAGGTGGGGATCCATAGGGATCCTTAGGTTTTTATGTAATCATGTTATTGTCTTGTTTTTTGGTGCCAGGATCGAACTTGGGATTCTGTGCTTGCAAGGCAGGCATTGGCACCAGTGAGCTAAATCCCCAGCCCAATCATGCTATTTTTATATTCCCCAGGCTGCCCTTGAACTTCTGGGCTCAAGTGATCCTCCTGCTTCAGCCATCCAGGTAGTTGGAATTGCAGTAACACACTATCACACCCAGTTTTGTAATCTTGTTTTTTGTTTTGTTTTTCTTTGTGCTGGGGATCCAACTCAGAGCCTCACCCTTTTTTTTTTTTGTACCGGGGATCGAACTTGGGACCTTATGCTTTCGAGGCAGGTGCCAGAACCACTGAGCTAAATCCCTAGCCCCAAGAGCCTCACCCTTTTGAGGCAGGTGACAGCAGCACTGAGCTAAATCCCCAGCTTGGTTTTTATTAAATACTGGGGAGGGCACCTAGGGACAGAGTGACAAAGGTCAGTAAAGATTCCCTTGGAAGGTTTTGTTGTTGTTGTTTTTGAGAGAAGGTCTCACTATGTAGTTCAGGCTGGCCTTGAACTCACTATGTAGCCCAGGTTGGCCTCAAATTCTCGGCGATCCTCCTTCCTCAGTGTCCTCAGTGCTGGGATTACAGGCCCACACTCCCTGCTTGCACCCACTGGGGATCAAACCCATACTGAGCAAATGGTAGGCAAATGCTCTACCACTCTGATCTCTATCTCCAGCCCACTCCCCTGGAAACTTTTCCGGTGCTCCTAGGCATGAGCCCACAGGCTTTAGAAAGAAGGTAATTTCCCAGTATCTCAGACTGGAAGTTGGGTTTGTTCCTCTGTTTGCATTGTTTCTCACTTGCAAAGAATGTGGGTTGTTTTGACATTAAGGCAGGTGGATCAGGAGAGAACAAAGCAGTGTGGAGCAATCACTATATTTATGAACATTTCTAACTAAGCTCCTTCGCACCAGGCTTGGGATGCATGCACCCCAGACGCTGCCAGCCAGGCTGGTCTCTGCTTTCACCTAGCAATGAGCAGATTGGGGTGGATTGGGGATTGAGTGCTCGGGTGGAGCTAGTCCTAAAGTTGGGCAACGTGCTAGGCCAACGTTATACAACTTCTGTTTTTGGCTTCTTGGAGACAGGGTCTTGCTATGTATCCCAGGCCGGCTTTGATTGAACTCCGTACCTTCCTGCCTCAGCCTTCCTGGGGCTGGGGTTTCAGGCGTATGCAGCCACATTCGGCAATGCCATGCTGTTTTAATGACTGTTGCTTTGCACTACTTTAGCATTTGCAGGACTTTGATTTTAGGAGGTTAGTTGAATTTTTTTATGCATAACTTTCTGTGTAGGTAGGACAAATGTTAGAAGGGAGTAAGGCACAGGAGGATTAAATGAATCGCTTTGTCCCTCAGCCAGTCAAATTTCCTTCTCATTAGGATCTGGAGAGCTTGACTCCTTTCCCTGTGTTCAGAGAAACGCGCTTTTCCGGGCGGCTCGGCTACTCAGGCGCTAGGGAAGGACGCGCAGGGAACAAGCAGGGAACAAGCAGGCGTCCCGCGCGCATCTGCGGAGGAACGCGGTGACCCAGCCCCGGTCTGCTCCAGAGGCGGGGCCGCAGCCGCACCGGGGATGAGCGCCGCGCCCTCCGCACTGCCCGGTCTGCGGCCACAGCCGCCTCGCCCGCCACGCCCGCAGGCTCCGCGCCGCCCCTCGCGCCCCGAGCGCTCCCTCCGCAGCTGCCCTGCCGCAGCCAGAGCGGCCTCCGGCGAGCGGCCTCCGGCGAGCGTCCCGCAGCGCGCAGGCAGCGACAGGCGAGGCAGGCATGGCGGGCCGCCGGGCGCCGGGGGAGAAGCGCTGGCAGCTGGTGCGCTGGTGAGTGGGCGCCCCGGGGCCGGCCGCCCGGGAGGAGCGCGGGCGTGGCCCAAAGTTTCTTCCCGAGCCGAGAGGTTGAGGGCCGGGCTGAGGGAGAGTTGCTGCTTGCCCGATCGAAACCTCCCCGCGCCCCCGCGCCCGGGCTTTGGGGCTCTCCAGAGCTGGGCGCTGGGACCCGCGACCCTGTCCATGACGCCAGGCTTTGGAGGGGCCCCTGTCCTCCTTCCACAGGCGCACGGGCGGGGCTCCCCTCCGGTCCCTCACCTCTGCGTTCCAATTTGTGCCATTGCGGGTGGGTTGGGGGTCCCCCGCCTACCTCCCTTTCTTCTGCCTCGCAGAGTAGCAGAGTGGACCCGGTTCCCGACTGCCCCCACCCCTGTGTTCAAAGAGATGCCCAGCTCACCTACACAGGGACCCCGGGAAGAGGGCCAAGGAGGCAAATGCGAAGGGGAAGCGATCCCAGTGTTGGTGGGCAGTGGTCCCTTCCCCCGCCGCAGTCCGGCCCAGCCCGGGAAGTCAGAGCCGGTGTCAGGTTACCCGGCTGCAGGCTGGAGGCTTTGCTGCCGCTCCGCAGCGGTCACCGGGGCTAGTCTCACATGCTCTCTGTGTGCGGGTGTCCGACCTCTGCTTGGTGGCTCAGCCTGCTCAGCCCACCGCGGCCCAGGGCGGACCCCAACGCCCAAAGGAGAGTTATCTGCCTCCAGCCCCACCCCATTCTAAATCGTCCCCCCCCCACCAGGGTCAGGGGCCATTTCTGAAATAGCATTCCAGGACACATCTCACCAGGTGCTTTCTGTAGCCAGAAGGCAAATAAGGGCGATTGTATCAGCCAACGCAGCAGCGTGGGCTTCCTAAGCACTTTCAATGCCTTTGCAGTCCTAATCCTGATTGGATTCTGGCTTTGGCTCAGTTACTCTTAACAGTAACACTCAGAGGAAGCTATTAGCACCCTTATTTACAAAGGAGGAAACCGAGGGTCAGAGGGGGAAAATGATTAGCCAAGGTCACACAACCAACAAATAGGAGAGTCAGGGTTTGCTGAGGGGCTTAATTGTTCCTTTGCTTTGCTTCTTATTTCCTGGACTCTTCCACTATCCCAGGCTGGCCACGCATCCAAGTTCAGATGGTCAGCATCCTTTTGTGTCAGACCAGGAGGGCTCAGTGCATCTCCAAGTTTATTATTATTTTTTTGGTACCAGGGATCAAACTCTGGACCTTACGCTTTCGAGGCAGGCGGCGGAACCACTAAGCTAAATCCCCAGCCAAGCCTCCAAGTTTATTATTTAGCAGCAGAACCACCCCTCAAGTAAAAGTCCAATATGTAAATCATATAAAAGTAGAACTAGTCTGTTTAAAGAGTTGTGTAGGAGCAAGCAGTTGCTTTTCCTCAGAGTGAGTCACCACTCCAGGACCCCGGGACCTTCCAGCTCAGTTCTCTTAAGCTGGACTAGGACGTGGCCACCTGCTCTGACACACCCCGGGCCTCGCCTCTAGTGGAGTCGGGCTGGGTTGGATCTGCAGCTGGACCAGATGAAGCAAGAATTGTTCTTAGTGCCCCATTTGGGTTTTGGGTCACTCAGGTAAAAGCCCATCTTTTGAGAAGATCCTGAAGATGTGACCTGAGGACCTGAATAGTCAGTCAGCTTGAAAGAGAATACTTTCTATTTCCTTTTCTGTTCTTTCTTTTTTTAGCCAGATTTTCACCTTATAGTCCAGGCTGACTTGAACATGCTATGTAGCACAGGCTGACTGGAATTTGCTCTCCTCCTGACTCAGCCTCCCAGAGTTGAGATTATAGGCATGTGCCACCATGCCTGATTTATACTTTTTTTTAAATGCAGGAATAACGGGTGTTGTTTTGGTATATCGGTAAATACATGTCACATACTGTGATTCTTTTCCCTCATTGTCCTTCTTCTCTGTCTTGCCCCCATTTCTTTTCCTCTTCTCTAATAGCCTCCAGAAGCGAATACTCTTTTTTTCTTCCTGGATTGAATCCAGAACCTTCACATTGAGCCTCATCTCCAACCCTTTTTCTTTCTAGGATTGAATTTGTGGTCTGCCTGCCTCAGCCTCCTAGACTGCTGGGATTACAGGCATGTGCCAACATGCCTAGCAGAAGGGAATACTTTTATTTTCTTTTTGGTACCAGGGACCAAACTCTGGACCTTGCAAGGCAGGCATGGTGCCACTGAGCTAAATCCCTGGCAGAAAGGAATACTTTTGAGGGTAAGAAACTCCTGTGGACCCATGCTAGCCTTGCTCAGCCTTGGTCCCTTGTTCCCAGACTTCACACTGAGGCAGTTTGCTTTCCCTCTGGATGAGTCAGGATTCTTTCACTTGTAAGTTGTAGAAATCAACTCAATGGGGCTTGAAAGAAAAGGGAATTTTATTGGCTCACAGAACTGAAAATTCCAGAAACTCTGCATGTTTCAGGTACAACTCGATACAGGTGCCAAAATAATGCCACCAAATAGCACTCTGCTCACTCTTTCTTTCTTTCTTTCTTTCTTTCTTTCTTTCTTTCTTTCTTTCTTTCTTTCTTTCTTTCCTCTCTGCTTTCCTCTGTTCCAGGTTTATTCCTTATATAAAAAGAACTTCAAGGGCCGGAGATTTAGCTCAGTGGTTTTGCCACCTGCTATGCAAGCGCAAAGACCCAAGTTCGATCCGCGGTACCAAAAACAAAAAAACGAAAAACAAAAACAAAAAGAACTTCAAAACCGACCTTCCCTTTCTCAGTGTTAACTCTCAGAATGGCATCTCATTGGCCTGACTTGTGTCACATGCCCATTCTTGAGCCAATCACTGTTACCAGAAGATAAAATTTTGGTTGGCCAGATCAGGTCACATGCCCACCCAGGAATTGAGGCTGGGTCAGCTAGCTTCACCTAAAACTAGAATTTTGAGTGGGAAGAAAGTTGGAAATAGTCATTGAGCAACAAAAAGAACTGATGTTCATTTACCTTTTTAGAATGGCCATCTTCCTTTGGCCTTTCTTCCAGACTCTATGCAAAGTATCACAAACTAAATTAGAATTTGATCAGAGTCATCAGATTATTATTA